CCCCCCCCCCCCAAAAAAAACAACCACCACCCCTGAAAACCCAAAAACTGAAATAATTTGGGTTAGGAGTGGAATATTTCTGTTTGTGGCCAGGACTATTTTGGTATTCAAATTTCTATTAAAAATAAATTTTTGGTGGAAATGTTTAAATGAATGCTGTATATTTGCATTTGTATCAAAATTGGAGGAGCAATTGGGAAAGACGTGGCAAGGAAATCTCACTTTAATAATGCAGTTACAGAGGAGTGAAAGTTGACTGACCAATAGCACAGTTACTCATGCATGGGTTTTCTTATTTCCTACAGCTCTACAAAAAGGTACATTCAAGAGGATCCCAATGGCATCACCTTCCCTTCTGATTTCACTCCCTTTTAGGTAAGCCAAATGCACTTCAAATTTCAAAATTACAAATCCTCATAAGCTGCTCATGAAATGACTTGAGCTGTGAAAAAACTCTTTTTTTCCCAATTCACAGACGACTGAAAAAAAACTCAGTTTCTGACAGATCTCAAGTTCTTCTTCAGAACATGTCCCAAACAGACCCCATGCTACCAGAAACCATGTTTGGTTAACTCCTCATACCTCCCCATGCTAACTGGGCACGTCTACAGGAGAAGTTAAATGCACAATAAACTCATTCTACTGTGCATTAGTGTGTCACAACAAAAGCTGTGCTAACGCGCTAATGTGCAGTAGAATTAGTCTCCTGCACATTGGTGTCAAAACAGCTGTGCACTAGGGCTGTGCAAAGCTGTGGATCATGATTTGGATTCAGAGATGATTTGAATGATTCGGAGGCCGAATCTAGACTCTGAATTGAATCGTAAGCTGCTAAGCTACTGTGTTACCAATCAGTCATGATTAATTCAGGGACCAGCTCAATACACAGTAGCTAGCTACTAGATAATGAGTTAATGAGACAGGATTAACACCTACAAAACCACAGACAAAGGAGCAGAAATAATTGATACAGAGGTGGGAATTGCCCAAGACAGAGACAGTTGCACAAGCACCCATGTCACAAGTTTTGCCTGTCAGCAGCTGGAGGTGCAGGGCCCCAGGACCCAGAAGTCCTGCACCAATCTCTTTGACAGCTGGCAGGCTTCGTGGCCTCAGCAGGAGCTAGCAGATGTGCAGCTTTCACCCTCCTGCGCCTTACACACACACTGTCACCCATGTCACGAGTTTTGCCTGTCAGCAGCTTGAGGTGCAGTTCCCCCAAACCTCTGCACCTATCTCCTTGAAACTTAGCAGGCTTTGTGGCCTCAGCAGGGGCTACCACCCCTGAATTTTTCACCCCTCCCCCCATGCCTTAACACACACACAGTATCACCTATGTCATGAATTTTGCTAGTCAGCAGTTTGAGGTGCAGTTTCCCAGAAACCCCTACACCCATCACCTTGAAATATAGCAGGCTTCATGGCTGCAGCAAGAGCTACCACCCCTGCAGTTTTCACCTCACTGTGGCTTAACACACACATCACTTGAGTTTTGCTTTCAGGACTTTGAGGTACAGTATTCCAGAAATCCCTGCATCTATCAGCTTGAAACTTGGCAAGTGTCATGCTCATGGCAGGGGCTACCATCCCTGGAAGTTTCTTCCAAATCAGCCAAGAGACAACAACGTTATAGATCATTCATTGATTTCCCCATTATCTGGGAGTCACACAAACCAGCCCTAGCCCTGGTCCAATTTCTACTCCATGCTAGTTTACCCAAATTTGCTATTCTGTTTGAAGGGGTGGGGTCAAACTCTACCTATGCATCACCCTTGCCAGCTTAGTCCCCACTCACTGGTAAAGGCATAGTAGTAGTAAACTGCTCTGCAGGTAGGAATACAGCAACAAGGCTGCATAGATTTCATAGACATTTGGGCTGGAAGGGACCTCAGAAGATCACTGAGTGCAGCCCCCTGCCCGAGGGGCAGGAAGGCAGCTGGGGTCATAGGATCCCATAGGAGAGGAAGGGGGAATTGGAACCCACACATTGCAATCAGAGCAGAAGTCACATTGCAACCTTTTACATCTGCCCGTGTGCATGTGCTTTTATGGAACGCTGTTTGTTTTCCAGGTACAATTAGCCACCCAGAGCAAGAAATCCAATTTGTGGCGGTCTCTTCCCATAGACAGCTATTGGATCCACTCGCACCTGACAGCGACTGAATAGTTTTAATGGAAGGATCTCTCGGTGAAACTGAATGGTGTCTGCTGTTCCTGGTCTCCAAGCTATTGTAACTGCACGGTGTCATGCAATATCCAACACGCCTACCACTGACAAAGTCCAAGTTGGCGTGGATTTATTTGGAACTGTTGCTCCTATGTTTTAGCTTTTCTTGTAGCTGCTTTTCGGGCACTAGACACTTTTGAAAGTGTTCTTAAATATAATAAAACCTTGCTAAATGCAACAGTTGTGGTCTTAATCCTGTCTAACGTCTGTTAGAGGGAGTAAGCTGGATCAATCTCTAACTTGCAATCACGCTGAAGATTCATGGCGCTTCTTCTCTGAGGGCTCCAAATAATAAAGGACTCAGGATCTTGGCCTAGCTGATTTGGGAGCCAGAGTTGCTTTCTCAAGTGACTTAGGCACCAAAGCCTTGGTCCTCCTTTCAGTACTAAGCTTCCATGGAATTTCAACTGGACCTGGGTTCCCAGCTTCCTGAGGCTGCTGCCCGAGTTTCATCCCAGGCTCTTAGTAGAGGGCATGTTGAATGGCTTTGACGGATCAGACTTGGAGCACCCGGCAGCCTACAGGATGGTATGCTTTCCAGTGCCTCCTAAGCGAAGGGTTGGCTGGTGGGGCCTCTCTTGAGTCAGCAGGGTTGAATGCTGGGAGGTAGCCAGGATGGGGGAAAGGAAGAATAAATCTGATCAGAAGGTCTCAGTGAGCTCAGGATGCTGATGATGACATTGGTAAGGAGAGGTCAGCCTTGCCTGTGGCACCTGATCACAGTCTGTGTCTGTGCAATTTATTGTGCTGCGTAGGAACTAACCAATCTCCACCTGAGCTTTCAGGGGCTCTTGTCTCCTTTTCCCATATCCAGGAGCTATGCTTTCTCTTTGTTCTCTCTCTTCGATGTATTCTTTTTCCAATGCACCTCTATTCTCTCCCTCCAGCCAGGCAGCTAGTACATCACCTCCAACCTGGCTTGCCTGGGAAGAGCAGCAATCAGCTTGTATTCACAGCATGTTTGGATATGGTGGTGGAGTGACACCTAGTTCTGATGACTCAGGAGGCATGTGAGCAAACAAAGTTACTCAAACAGCCACAAAGCATATTAAACCTATTAAGCTGCCTTAAAGGTAACCTCCACCCTAATAGACTAAGATATACATACACACAAATATACATATACATGTGATGGCTCAGGAGGCATGTGAACAAACAAAGTTAGCCAAGCAGCCACAAAACATATTAAACTCCCCCCTCGCCATGCGAAAGAAAAGTACCACCAGATATTAGCTAGACCCTGTTATAAGGGGAACATAGCACACATGTTGCATTATTCATGATTGCAGGAAAGTCGTCATGCCAAATACATGCAGTAAAATAAAACCTGGGATAACATTTTTCTGCTGTGCCACAAAAATAGGGTGGAAAGTCTCAAAAACTGCCCTAGAATAAGAGGCTATGTTAGAGCAGGGGTTTTCAACTTTTTTTAATAAGTGTACCCCTTCTGACTCAAAGTTTCAGTTCCTGTACCCCCTTATATTTTTTTCTGGTTTATAAGTGTGTGTGTGTGGAGGTGGGGGGATGTGCAGATCGAGGGCCCCGCAGTGCAGGAGGGAGTAGAGCGGGGCAGGTGCTGCTCAGCCGGAGTGGGGTGGGGTGGGGTGCAGGACAGAGCCATGGGTGGCTTATCCAGGTGATGTGTGGTGGGGGGTGGCTTCTGCTGCTGCATGCACTCTTGCAGGGCATGGGGGGGCATGTGCCCCCAGATCTGCATGAGGTGGGTCGGGTTGCCTCAGTGGTGGGGGAGGGAGTGGGGCTGGGACAGGGGCTGCGCAGCCAAGGTGGGGCGCAGGACTAAGCCATGAGGGGAGGGCGGCTCTTGCTGCTACCCGCACCCCCAAGACGGCATGGGGGTCATGTGCCCCCAGATCTGTGTGGGATGGGCTGCAGCTGGGGCAGCACCAGGCTCTTCCCAGTGCCTGCTGCTGCTTCAATTTAGGGCCCTTTGAACCCCCGTGTTGTGCATGCACCTGAACTTACCTTCCTCTTTGGCGGCGGGGAGGGGAGGGTGAGCTGCTGGTGGGCAGAGTGGTCCCTGGGCTGGTACTTCCCTCTGAGGCAGCAGCGCCCCCCCAGGCAGCACCCACCCGCAGGCACCCAGCTTGGGCACAGCATTCCCTCTATGCTGCATGGCGTGCGCAGCTGTGCAGGCACACTTGGCAGCGTAGCATGAGCACACCTGCGCAGCCACGCACACCACGCAGCATAGAGGGAATGCTGCTTGGGCAGTCCCCGGGGGCACCGGAGCTGTGGAGGGAAGCACCAGGCCCCTGCACGGCTCAGGCAGGCAGGCCGGCTCTGGGGGAAAAGAAAGACAACTCCTGGGTGGAACCTGCCTTCCTGGGCTGCTGCCAGGCTGCCTGCATGGGCTTCCTGCAGAGCCTGGTGCCTCGCTCCATGGCTGAAGGGCAGCAAACTAAAACTCCTTGAAAGAGTTTTATTTTACTACACCCCAAGTCATGCAAGGCGCATTACACTGTGAAATTTGCTACAGCAGCTGGAATTAATGCGCAATACACCGCCAACGTGTGCAAACACCAACACCGTTAAAGCAGTGCAAAAGCATTTAACCTCCTTTCATCCACACACAGCCACCTGTTAGGGTGGTGTTGCAGGTTACCTTTCAACCATTCTGAAGGCAGTTAAAATGGGAGCATCCACACCTTAAAGGGTGCTAAACTTCTAAGCGTCTTAAAGTTATGCCACTTCAGGCAAGGGTTACAGCTTGAGCTAGGGCATTGTTAGTCTGCTCCACAAAGATAAACTGACTGACTTGCAGCCCTCCAGCATCCCAGGATGCCCTGCTCCCAGAACCTCTACCCCTGACAAATGTTTCACCGTCTCAAGTCAACACCCTCACTTGCCCCCAGTAGGTAACCCTAGCCCATACAGCATCATGCTGCCAGCTCTAAGCACCCCAGGAAACTCCATCTGGGCACCTGGGCTGGGGGTGAAGGACACAGCCCCTGCAC